CGGCCATAAGTTGGCGGGCATATTGTACCACAGCCGCCGCCGCCAACAGAAACCATTGGACGGCCGCCATTTTCAACAACAACCAATGAATGGACAGGAGGAGGAGCCTAATTCAGCAGGAGGGACGGGACCAGCCCTGATTGGCCGAACAAAGAAACCTAATGGCGGCAAAGGGGCGGGGCAACATCGCAAAAGAGTCCATAAATGGGAAAAGGGGAGGAGCTATACAGCAGGAGGGCGGGGCCACGCCCCCTCAGGAGGCAGGAGTGGGGGTGGTTTGTAGCGGCGGGATATCTACTGTTTTGTCTGCCTTGATTACAGGGACAATGGGTGTTGCCCATTCTGAATTGTCCACCTGCTCAATGATCCCCTCCTTCTCCATTTTAATTAGTTCCGAATCGACCGACTCTCGGAAGGCCAAGGGTACAACTCTGCATTTACAAAAAACTGGTGTAACTCTATCATTTTTCAAATTCAAATTAATTTTGGAAAGTTCATACCTACCAATTTTGTTATGAAACAGAGTGGGAAATTTAGAGATTAAAGAATTTACGTCATTATTTATTGATATATTATTGATAAAATTCAGCTTTACCTTAAAATCAGCCATCCAATCTCTTCCCAAAATGTTACAACTTGCGTTTTTAACCACAAAAAACTTATTAGGCTTTGTCATATTTCTGAATTTGGTACTTGCAGTGAAAACTCCTTCTGGTTCGACCAACTTCCCATTAAAACTCCGTAAGTTTGTTCCACACTTCGTTAACCTATAATTTGAAAAGTATTTCAGAAAAGTTTCGTGGTTAACTGCTGATACTGCAGAACCACTATCTATCAAAAACTCTATTTTGAAACCATCAATCGAAATATCAATAAAAAAATTATTTTTATGCTGGCTTTTGTTTACATTACAATTAAATGAGTCTGCTACTTGTGGACTTTGACTGATACAAAACGTATCAAAACAATCAACATCGTTGTTGAAGTTTTCTGGGCTGCCTAGCTCTACGTCACTATCATTACATAAAAAATTAAAATCTGAATCATTTTCCTTCCCAGTACCTTCGTCCAATTCCACAAAATTTATTCGTTTTCTCCTAATTTTACACGCTCGTGCAATATGCCCCCATTTATTACATTTTACGCACCTTGCATTTTTAAATTTACAATCAGAACCCCTGTGAAAATTCCCACAATGTATACAATTCGAAAAATTTGAGTTACCTGCATCTGTATCATAGTTTTTTTGTTTATTATTGAAGCTTTGCGGATTTCTCACTTGGAAACCATTTCGTTGTCTCTGTTGCGCTGGTTGCGCCAGCTGATGATGACGCTGCTGGTCGAGATAGTCCCTCCCCTGGGTGCTGAAACGACTCGGTGTTGTATTGCGTCGCCAGTGACCTTGTTGATGGGCGCTCGCGCTGACGTCACGACCTTGTTGGTACGGCTGCGATCTGATTGGCTGCGGACCGGTTGGCCTGCCTAAGAAATTTACTGATGACGTCGCACTGCTGGAATTTGATGAATTTTCGACCTTCAAAGCAATGGCGAACAGCTCATCAAGGGTTTTGTTGGGATGTTCTTCACAGAGACGATCTAAAATTTTGCTAGAATTTAGGCCACTTACGAATTTGTCGCGAAGTATCTTGGATAAGTCGTTTCCAAACTGGCAATTAGTAGCAGCACCACGCATTTTTGCATGCCAGTCGGCCATATTGGAGGAACCCTGGCTCGTTTCATAGAAGGCAATCCGCTCCCTCCATACACTTTTTCCTGCTGTATATTGTTTTTTTAACAATTGTTTCAGCTGGGCGTACGTCTTGTCTTGGGGGTTTGAGGGGTGCGCCAAATCCTTTATCAGCTTGTAGGTGCTTTGGCTTATGGAACTCAAAAAATCGCCACTTTGATTTTGTCTTTTTCGTCGCCAATTTCATTGACAATGAAGTGTTGTTCCAGTCGGTCGGCGTAGATTTCGAAATCGTCCGTTTCGCTGTTGAGTTCAGTCCTCACAGGGTGGAGGAGTCACGTCATGACGTTTGACATCAAGGTTCCGAGCGTGTAGTTTGTAGCGTTTTCTTTAGCCTGGTCTTGACTCTGGGTGAACTCATTGTCGATTACCACACTTTGAGAGTTAACTTAAAGTTAACTTCTGGAATTACATGTAATTCAAAAAGTTAACTTCAAGTTAAATGTCAAAGCAGTTTTATAATACCCGCCCTAAATCGGATGCGCAGTCGTCTTTCTATTTCCCTCACATATTTCTGATCAGAGTCAGTACGTGTCAACCACCCTTCCGAACACCGAAAACCGTGTGACTTCTATCCACATTTCGCCATTCTGAACGGCAGCTGTGTGATTTTTATACGCCACACCATGTTCTCGAACAAGGAGATTCCCACAGGCCACAGGAGTCTCTGACAGTTTGCAAACTGTCAGTAAGCATCGCCCATGCATGTTTTCAATGCTGTCGTTACAAGATAAATCGGTTAACTCAGCTGAGCGATTGTTTCTGACAGGTTGCAATCTGTCAGAGTGGGAACAGACCTATTCTATGGAAGACGTCGTGACAATTTTTCAGGAACTGATGTATTTGGGACACCAAACCAAGAAGTTGGTGAAAATATTATTATACGGAACATATTATACCGCATACCATAGCCATAACCTTCCCTTTTTGTATTTTGTGGCTGTTTATTGAGTTTATACATTGAGTTGAAATAAATTTTGTGCACCTAATCGTTGAGATTTTCTTGAAAGTCTTTGTTTTTTATAACGTTAACGAATAATCGTGGTTTTTGGAGGGTTTGTGTCTGGTGAACATAAGTACTCGAATATTCTTCCAGCGGATCAAGAAAGGGATGTGTCGTCGAATTTTAATCCTCTATAAAAACTGCCCAATGATTTTATGTAAACAACCCTGGGGGCTTCGTCATTACTATCCAGCATTCGCCCCTCCATCCTTCATACTGGTTAGTTCCCGTTATTAGGTCAGTGGCGGCTCGTCGTATAAAGCAACTGAGGCCGGGCCTGACTTCTCAAACATCGTCTTTAACTTCGGCTTTTACTTCCGTAATCTTTTGTTCTAGGTTAGCGACAAATCCGTGTATGTTTTGAAGTTGTCCAAGGTCTTCTTGCCGTTCTTTTTGTCGCCTAACTTCTTTGTCTTGCATTTCTTTTTGTCGTCTGGCCTCTTCGTCTTGTTTCTCTTGTTGTCGTTTAGCTTCTTCGTCTTGTTTTTCTTTTTGTCGTCTGGCCTCTTCATCTTGTTTTTCTTGTTCTCGTTTGGTCTCTTGAAGTTCCAACATTTTGCGCAGAAGTTCTTCAACTTTTTGTTCATCCATTTTCGCTTATTGTCTTGTGATAGGCATACACAAAATGTTCTGGAATTTTCCTCAAACTCTCTTCAAATATCTTTTCTGGTCTTTGCTCGAAGTTCCAAACACACCGGTGAAGTCACAAATTGGATAACTTTCGTTATTTTAGAATAGAATTAATGTTCTAGAATTTTCTTGAAATGTCTTTTCTGGATGTCGATTGCTATAGAAACACGTCGGTGTAGTCATAAATTCGATACCTTCCTTAGTTTCCAAATAAAATGTTGTAGAATTTTTCCGAAACTCTTCGAAAAACTTTTTCTGAATGACGATTGATGTTCCGAATACGTCGGCGAAGTTAGAAATTCAATACCTCTCTTGGTTTCCAAATAGATTTTCTAGAACTCACTTGAAGATTCACTCACAAATCTCTCGCATACTGCTTCGAACCATTTCGAAGTACTTGGAATTTTCTACAAAATGAGTGCTCCAACACTCATCTACTGTGAATAGTTTGCCGTCAATCCAACGACCAAGTTGACCGCGCGCGATGATGTTGTACTTCCCGATAAGCTAGAAAGTTGAAATTTTCAGGGGACTTAGAACTTTTAATTTTGTCGAGCCAAAACAAATTTCTTCCCCCCCTCTTCACCCCTGGGAAACCCTGGAAGGGCTGTCAAAGTTCTATCCGATGAAAATTTTAATTTTTCAAAATTCGTGAAAATAAATGCAAAACGCGTATACCCCATTCTACGTCCTTTCTCAAAATTGGGAGATAGGAGCTAAAATCTTTCCTATATGTCGTAGAGAGCTGGAAAGTTGAAATTTAACATTTTTTAGACCCCTTTTATCTAGGTACACTTTAAATTTCATCCAAATCGGCCCAAAGCCCTTGGGACGTCATTTTTAGATCGCAAAGGGGGTCCATTCTCGAAATATTGCGTTATGAAATTTGTTTTGGCTCGACAAAATTAAAAGTTCTAAGTCCCCTGAAAATTTCAACTTTCTAGCTTATCGGGAAGTACAACATCATCGCGCGCGGTCAACTTGGTCGTTGGATTAACGGCAAACTATTCACAGTAGATGAGTGTTGGAGCACTCATTTTGTAGATAATTCCAAGTACTTCGAAATGGGATCGAAGCAGTATGCGAAAAAACCTACCGGTTTCACGGTATTCACGAAAACCAAAAACTACCCCCCACTTTTGACCTTTGACCGGCCATTGTGATTCACCTAATCGTCCTATGACCTTGATTTTATCATCATTAGATAGATAATTTTATTTCCCACAAATTTAATCTGTCGGACTTGACGGTACGGATAATAGCACCGAAGATAAGAAATTAAAACGAACTCAACCCTACATAAAGAGGGGGTAGTATCTTCCCCCACCCCCTCGAATACGAAAACTCAGTTTTAGACTCAGGACATGCCCCCGAACACACCCTCCAAATTTCAGCCATTAAGTATTTTTTTTTAGTAAAATATCCCTATTTACTGTACTATTATCTGATTGCATAAATTGAACAGTCAGTGCAATGAAAATAGTTAAAATTAACTATGCTCAAACACCGGATTATAAAAGAGAAAATAAATAATTTAGGCACATCAAAAATTTTATTAGGAACTTAAACATAATAGGTATTCAAAAACTTTGAACTGAATCGATATTTATGTAAACAAAAAAAAATTCATAATTCAATAAAAAATACACCTAATTTTTATTGGCATTCCATTTTCACTTGTGAAAGGTGACAATTGTAAAAGTTATTAAGGACTACTTCCTATTATAAATCACAGATTAGTCACATCCGGAAATTTTATGTTTTTTTCTTGACCAAAATCCAACAAATCTTTGGCATGCAATGAGAAAGAGATATTGGGTGGTATGAATAGAAACGAAGTATCTAGTACTACTACATTTATTAGTAGATTCTCTGTAGTATTTACTTCAAAACGAAGTAGATACTACATTTCGAAACCAGTGAAAATTAGTGAATGCTTTTTTTGAAATAAATACTACGTAGAATAATAGAATATACTAATACTTGTAGTACTTAGTTGCAAGTACTTCGTTTTTATTCACCCATTGGTAGAAAATTACTCATATTGGCATTCAAATGTTTGTGAAATAGTTTTTATGTGATTTATTTGAAAAAAAAAAAGTATTGTGGGGTCTTTTTTAAATGGTTATTCTGAAGTTGGACATTCTCTTGGAGCAACAACAAAGAAGAATTTTTCAGTTTGCAAACTCACTTTAAAACTATCTTCTTCTTCTCGAAATGATTCGTTTTCATTGTCTACTATCTTAAATAAAGTATAATATTTATCCAAAGGATATTTATGGGCCACCGAAAAATGAATGTCGGATTTGCCAATCTTATAAAATATAATGCAGCAGAATCCTGAATCAGTTACCATGTAGATTCGTCCCTGATGGGGCCAAAGAAAATACATTTCAAAGGTAATCAAGGTAACCCTATTGTCATGGCGAATTACAATAGATTTAAATTTATCGGAGCTTTCAATAAAAAAATGGCCAAAGTAGAATTCAGCGAATTGAGAATCAGAAAAGCCAGCTTTCAGATTATGAGAGCAAGCTTTTTCATGATCAAATAATGCATTATCCCCAAATCCTATGCCACATTGGTATCTACAATAAATGATTACATTCGACATTTTCTGAAATATAGTGGATCGAATCTGTAAACAGTCTCCAGCTGAACAACTCTGGCAATATTTTACGCCTTTCTTATAACAAGGTATGCAAATATCAATATTGCAGTTACCAGAATGGCGACAAAAAGTATCCGACAAGGAGAAATAATTTTCACAAAACTTGCATATTACTTGCCATTCTGTATCCTGATTCAATAAAACATGGATTTTTCCATAAATGGTATCTCTCTGAATTTTTTCGAATTTATATCCATCATACTCTAAGGAAAAATCAGGAAACCGTTTCAGCATAAAGTCATCATAAGGTTCGCCAGAATATTTGAAGTCTTCCGGGTTGATTTTTGATTCCTCCAAACTGATAAATGGAGTGGTAATACTTAACTGGGAAAGTTCTAATTCGAGAGAGATTTTTTCTAAACCATTATCAGAGTTGGCTGCTGATAATAATTCAAAATGAAACTCTCCAGCTGATGTCCTTGATGAAGATTGCCTAACAACAACATCGCCGATAACGTTATGGCAATTGAAGCTGCAATTTATTTTATTTTTATTATTACCCAATGCAATAATCTTTACATATGGCTGTCCGGCGACAATTTCAACATTAATAAATGCCAAGATGTTTTTATATTCATTGCAGTAAAGATAATTAGATTCTTTGGCAGACCTTGTACTAATAGAAAGCAGAGGGTTTGTCAGATAATATTTGTTATGCAATATCCGATAATGATGAATCAAAGACAAAAATGAATATTCCACCAGTTGGTTGTTGGAATGTTTGACACAAATTGGGCATAAATGTAAACTACCCGTACAGACATTTTCATGTTGTGGCACATCTTCGCATTTAAGAAGTTCATTGCAGCCATCAAAACGATTCACACATGGAAAAATTACGTTCTTGATAATATTATTTAGCAGCGTAGGAGTTGTTTCTTCTTCATCCTTTAAACATCTTCCACATTTCACTCCTTCTGAGATAGAAACTTTGATAGGACCATATGAAAGGTACTGTTTGCAGCAAGAACATATTTGCGTCTTCAATATTTCCTCTGGAAACAGTATCATGATGAATTTATGATCTGGAAAGAAAATTAAAAATAACTTTCAAAAGCTTTTTGCAATCATTCTCAAATATGTAACCAGAGAACCAAAGTTTATCTAAACTAAGAATTTCCTTTTTCACGAGTCAAAAAAATAAATACAATTTAGCAAATATGTAGAGTTGCAGAGGAAGTTGGGGAGGAAGATAATATTACTGCTTTGTTTGATGAGTGCTTTACAAGCATAGGGTAAAAATTGAAAAAAACCCTCTAATATAAAGCACATTCCCAAATACCTTCAGGAACAGAAATTTGGGGGGCTCCTTTTTTCTGGAACCAACAAACTTGCCTGAAATTGAGGAGATTCTGGTTGTGTGAAATGAAAAATAACTGTTCACATATCAAAAAATGATTATGACATTATAAACTATTTATATTTTTTGGGAATGAAATTATGGATATGACTCAGAAAGTGATATCTGGTATATATGTTACTGTAAATGCCCGAAATGCGGTAAAACCTAGGATAAACGCGCTAAACCTAGGATTTACCAAAAGCAAGTGGTAAAAGCCCGAAAACTGGGTATTTTGCTTTCATTTCGGACTTTTACCGGACACAAACAGTAAATCTTAGGATTTACCACACCGCATTGGTAAAAGTACGAATACCACTGATACGTTAAAGAAATCGATATCGTGAAACGATAATCGTTAAGAAAATTAAGAAAATTTCTTGTGTCCTGGAGATTTTCCATCTCAGGAAATTAGCGTAAGAAGTGCAGTGCGAAAATTGTCGTTATGTAGTTGCAAATGATTTAAGAAATGCAATTGTATTCGAAAATGTTCCACCAAAAGATGTTTATTCAGATCCTCTAAATACTCTGCAATTCTACATGCCATGGAAGTTTGCCCTGTACCAATAAATAAAATTTCTATTAGTGGACATTTTAATCCATTTATTTCAATTAAAAAAATGGTTTTGACATTTAAGTACCTATAGTTTTTCGAAAGTCAATTGGAACAAGGTGAACATAACTCATAACTGGTGGCTGACTAAAGGCAGTGCATTTCCTATAGAAATATCCAGTGCCCAGTCAGCTACCAGCTGGTATCTTGTTTTAACTGAGTTTGAAAATACTATACCTACTTTTTGCAATATTAGGTTTGTTCGGACATATATGAACAAATGCGCAAGCGCAGTTCAAATCAAATCAAATCAAATCAAAAAATGCTTTATTGTACAAAAAGGCCTTAAGACCCTTATTTACAAAGCTAAAATGGAAATAATACAAAAACATTATGAGGAGACACTGAAACGTTACATGTTAAAATACTAAAAACTAACAAAAACAATCAAGATAAAAACATTAAAAAACAGAACTAATTCTGAACCAAGTCCGAACAAACCTATTATTTATTTATTTATTTATTTATTTATTATACGGGATAACCCCATTAACAGCAAAATTACAACAAAAAATAATAAATTGGTTAGGTATATACATTATAAAACCTGCAGCAAGTAAGCGTTAACACTAAGAGAAAAACAAGAAACAACAAAATTTAAACTTAACGAAAAACAATCTAAGCTACCCAGAAAAGAAAAAAAAATATATACACATACTTAAGGAGAAAAAAAAAAAACAAAAATAAAATAGATTAACTATCAATCAACAAAAACAAAATTAATTAAAGTAATACTGCTCCACACCATTATTTTCATAACAAAACTGCCCTTTTAAAAATCCCTATCGATACATTAAAGACATCAATATCATGACAATTAATTAAAGACATATACCTATGTAAAGGGCTGTTAACCCCATATGTTGTCCTATGGAAAGGAATATTGAACACATTATTGTTGCGTAGACCCTGATAATATGGTACATTTAAACCTACATAATTCAAGAGATCTGGGCTGTCAATCAAGCCATTTACAATTTTATAAATAAAAACGGCACCAAACACATCACGGCGATTTCCCAAAGGACTTAGGGATAGTTGACGCTCAATATTATCGTAGTCATGGTCAATGATTGTAGGAAAATTATACCTAAAAGCACATATTCTCAAAAATTTATGTTGCACTCTTTCCAATAATGCAGAGTGAACATGAAAAAAGGGAGACCACACAACTGAACCATACTCTAGCACTGACCGCACTAAAGAGCAGTAAACAAGCCTCACTGATTCAACAGAAAAATACCTGCAGTTTCTATTAATAAAACCTAACATTTTTGACCCCCTTATACTTATTGAGATAACATGTTCAACAAATGACAATTTCTCATCGAATATAACGCCTAGATCCGCAACGGATGATACATACTTAAGTTGTTGACCTTCTATTGTATAATCTGTTCCGATTCTGTTTGGTTTCCTTGTGAAACTTATAAAGCAACATTTCTTTACATTCAAAAATAATTTGTTTTACACGCACCATTCTATCACACGATCCAAATCTTCTTGCAGCATTTGCTGGTCGCAAATGGTCTCAATAGTTTTCCAAAATTTAATATCGTCTGCAAATAACAAGCATAAACTATATAAAAAACAATCAACAATGTCATTAACAAAAATATTAAATAGCAGTGGTGAACAATGTCCACCCTGCGGTACTCCTGATGTAACATAGATAATATCAGAGAAAAAACTGCCAATCTTAACCTGTTGAACACGGCCCCTCAAAGAACTCTCAAACCATAGAACAAGTCCAAAGTTGAAACCAAACTTTTGTAGTTTTTGAAGCAATATATGTTGATCAACTTGATCAAAAGCTTTCGAGAAGTCTGTGTAAATCGCGTCTATTTGCTTCCTGTTCTCCATGCTAAGTAAAATATCGGACTGATAAGTTATGAGGTTGGTTGCAGTTGACCTGCCCTCTGAGAAGCCATGCTGTTTTTGAGAAATAAGACCTTTGCACTGCCAATGCAATTGTTTACTAACGAGACAGTCAAACAGTTTAGGTATAGCTGATTGGATACATATACTGCGATAGTTCTCCACATTGTCCTTTTTACCGCTCTTGAATATTGGAACAATGTGACTAACTTTCCATTTGTCAGGAAATGTAGATAACTTCAAAGACTTATTATATATATACACTAATTGACATTGTATGTATAGATAAATCATTGTGTATTGAGAAATCGGGAACTATGGAAATGTATAATCTGACAGATCATAGATTGGTGTATGCGATTTTGGTGTTAGATGTTCCAAAACCTTTGGCTAAATACCGAACTTACAGGGACTTTCGAAATTTTAGTATTGATGAATTTAATACAGAAATGAATCATAAGCAATTTGAACGTATCCTTCAACAAGGATCATCTAACACCATGATTGAGTGTCTTAATCATCAGCTGACAGAAGTATTTGACAGATTTGCACCTTTGAAAACTGTCTTGATTAAACGAAAATTTAAACCCTATATAACTGATACTATAAAAGAAATCATAAAATTAAAACGAAATGCTTATAACAAATATAAAAGAACCTTATCTCAAGCACACAAAAATTATTACCTTGATATAAAAAACTATCTTTCATTTGCCATTCGAAGTGAAAAAAAGGCTTATATGTCATTCGAATTGAATAAACTTAAAAAAGATCCTAAAAGAACTTGGTCAAAAATGAACGACTGGAATATTCACTGCAATAATAACATAGAAATTCCTAATCACTTAAAAGATGTAAACGAAATCAGCAACCACTTCGCAAGTGTCTGTCAGCTGGTTGCTCCAATTGATGATGCAACTCTGGACTTTTTTAATGGTAATAAATTTGCAGGACTGGATAATGACTCATTTTTCTTTAAGAACTTAACCGAAATTGATGTTTATCGCGCATTCAGACGCATTAGGTCTAAATGCAGTGGAATTGACAATATAACTCATGATATGTTACTTTATAGCCTAGACTTTATAGTGCCATTACTCACTAATCTCTTCAACCGATTTCTGCAAACTGGGGAATTTCCCACTGCTTGGAAAACCTCTATTGTAAAGCCTCTTCCAAAGTCTGCTAAGATCAGTACTATTAATGAACTCAGACCCATTAGCATCTTGCCAATCCTTGGCAAAATGCTTGAGTTACTTGTCTCAGACATGATAAATGATTTTATATGTAATAGAAATATTATGCCAGCAGTGCAGTCTGGATTCCGGGCAGGCCATAGTACCGCAACTGCACTGAGTAAAATCACCACAGATATATCTTTAAACGCCGACCAATCCCTGATTTCGTGTCTGATCCTACTTGATTATAGCAAGGCCTTTGATCTTATCAATCATAGCTTATTAATGGCCAAGCTGCGGTATTATGGTTTCTCTGAGCAGGTCTGCCTCTGGTTTGACAGTTATCTGACATCAAGAATCCAAATTGTGGAGGTGGAGGGAGCAAGGTCTGAGCCTGTCCTCGTGACGCGTGGGGTCCCCCAAGGCAGCATATTAGGCCCTTTATTATTTAATTTTTACACCTCTGACTTGCCTAGCCAGGTCGGGTTTTGCTCGGTCCACCTCTACGCGGATGACACGCAGCTTTTGGCCGCGTTTCCCCCAGAGGAATCCAGCGCTGCTATGAATGAAATTAATAAAGATCTGAACAAAATATACAAATGGTCTATCAGTAATGGATTGCTCTTGAACACGTCAAAGTGCGTGCATTTAATATGTGGTTCAAAGGCTGGTAGGAATCGGTTTGATTTGTATAACTTCACAATTATCTCTAACTATTTGAAGAATCAGCTCTCCATTCCTGATGTCAAATGCTTGGTGTTGGACAAAAATGAAGATGTGGTTTCATTTAAAATTGGGGTTAAAGAATCACTTTTGAAGGGCCTGCTGGATCCTAACCTCTGGCCAGTAGGCATTGCTGTCAAGGAGTTTCATCCTCGTCGTATGGGGGCAAAACCGTCCAATGCAAATTTTCAGAGAGGAGACAGAGAGGACCAGTCTCGTTAGATTGTGCTTCCTTTCTCTACCAAAATGTAAGAGGCTTAAAAACCAAACTCAAAGATGCTTTCTGTGCGGCTCGCGCCGAGTCTTTCTCAGTTATTGCACTTACGGAAACCTGGCTAGACTGTAGTATCTGTGATGCCGAATTTCTTGACTCGCGTTACACGGTTTATCGCTCTGATAGAAGCAGTCTGAACAGTACTAAAAGCCGTGGAGGTGGGGTCCTTTTGGCAGTAAATAATTGCCTAAAATCTCATCGCCTGTCAATTGGTGAAGCATCGGTCGAGGAAACGTGGGTGTCTGTTACGCTGGGTGACATGGTCTTCTGTATTGGCTGTGTCTACATTCCACCTACCATGGATGTGCTCCATTATGAAAACCATTTGAAATCAGTTGCTAGTGCCTGTGAAATGTTTGATAATGTGCTTGTTCTTGGAGATTATAATCTTTCCCAAATAACGTAGTCCACTAGTGAGGATCTCTCGGGTTTATTACCTGGAAATGTAAGGACAACTAAGGAAATATTGTTATGCGATAGTACTGCTTCTCTTAATCTGTCTCAATACAATGGGGTGGCTAACGATCATGGTTCAATCCTGGATCTATGTTTTGCCAACTTTGGGCCTATTTCACTTGTAACATCTGACGGTCTGGTGGGATGTGATCGTTATCACCCAGCTCTAGAGTTTTCCATACCTGTTGTTAAAGCTAAATTTCTGAAGCCTCTTAATTATTTTTCTTATGACTTTAAAAATGCCAATTTTGATTTGGTTACTGAATATTTTCTTTCCTTTGATTGGCGATCCATTATGATGGACGATCTAAACGAAACTGTTAAGAGCTTTTACTTGGTACTGTTCGACTGCTTTAATATGTTTGTTCCAATAAAGGCACATTCTTACAGCGAGAAATTTCCTATCTGGTTCTCTAACGAATTGAAAAATCTGATTTTTCAAAAGAAAATTGCTCACAGACGATTCAAGCGGTCGAATAGAGGTTTGGATTACTTTGCATTTAGTACACTTCGGCGAGATTGTAAAAACCTCACCAAAGAGTGCTATAAATTATACATAAGTGATACTGAAAGAGCCATAGGCACCAATATGAAAATTTTTTGGAACTTTATTCACTCCCAATCTAATCAGGGTACTATTCCTAACGAAATGTTTCTTGCCTCAGAAAAGGCGTCCAACGGTGTTGACATAGCTAATCTTTTTGCTGTCTATTTCTCCTCCGTCTATAACCCTCAGAGAAATTCCGACGCTGGAACCTTTGCTGATCGATTTGAGAATGTTTCAAGCATTGTCATAGATCCAACAGATATTGAGAGGGCTTTAACGCAATTGGACATCAACAAGTCTGCAGGACCTGATGGTATTCCCAACAAAGTACTAAAATCTTGTTCTAACACTTTGTATCTTCCTCTGTTTAATATTTTCAACAAATCATTATCTTCTGGAATTTTTCCAGAAATGTGGAAGCTCTCCTACGTTTGTCCTATTTACAAGTCAGGCAGCAAAAATGATGTAATAAATTACAGACCCATCAGCATTCTGTCTGCGATTCCAAAATTATTTGAGCAGTGCGTGGAAGGAATTCTTTCAAAAATATTTCATCAGATTGTGATCAGTCAACAGCACGGTTTTACAGCCGGTAGATCCGTTGAGACGAACCTGTTTCTCTTTACAACATTCATAAATTCATCATTTGCTAATAATGCAGAAACTCATGCAATATATACTGACTTCAGTAAAGCCTTTGATAAGGTAAATCACAACATCCTTCTTTCAAAGCTTTCAAGTTTCGGCGTTTCTGGACATTTATTTTCATGGATGAAATCATACCTTACTAACAGAATGCAACAAGTCAAGATCGATGGCTATCTTTCTTCTCTTTTCCATGCATCCTCTGGGGTACCCCAAGGTTCTCACTTGGGCCCCCTTCTATTCAGCTTATTTATCAACGATTTAGGATCGTTGCTCTCGTCAAATTTTTTACTTTTTGCTGATGACTTGAAGTTGTATCGTCAGGTGACGTCAACTCAAGACATACTTATTTTGCAAAATGATCTTAACATCGTTCACGATTGGTGTCAGCTTAATTACATGTCCCTCAACATCGATAAGTGCTGTTGTATAAGATTCAGTAGACGCACCCATAGTGTTCCCTTGCAGTATTACTTAAACAATGTTCGCTTGTCTGAAGTTTCTATCATTAAAGATCTTGGTGTCTATCTAGATACTAGGCTAATGTTCACTGAGCATTTTGAAGTGGTAATTGGCAGGGCTAATAAAATGTTGGGGTTTATTAAGAGAGCTACTAGGGACTTTACAAGTATACGCCCTATCAAAATTCTTTACACATCACTGGTCAGGTCCGTTCTTGAATTTTCATGCATAGTTTGGTCACCTTACTATCAGATCCACATCAATAGGCTTGAGAGTGTTCAACACAAATTTATTAAGTTTGCAAGGTACAAACTTTCTTTGAGTGGTGTAATTCTCAGTGATGACCTGACTATGACTTATTTAGACTTATCTACTCTTGTTCGCAGAAGGGAATATTTTGATGTCTGTTTTGCATTTAAAATTCTTAACTACTACATAAAAAGCCACGAATGTCTTGAATGTTTTAATCTACACATTCAAAGTTATCAGACACGAAGTAAATCTTTACTGCACATTCCTTACTGTCGAACCTGGTACCTACTATTCAGTCCTGTGAATAGAATATCTGCCAATGTAAATAAGTTCTGTGAGGGCCTTGAGTTCTTTGGTTTATCTCTGGATAAATTTAAGATGAAGGCCAGGAGAATTGTTTTAGGTTAGATTTTTTTTTTTTTTTAGATGTAAACTCTGTTCAACTTCAAATGTATTTTTCTTATACGTAAATAAATAAATAAATAAATAAATAAATAAATAAATAATTCTTAATGTCAATGGGTTGGTGATTCCGTACGCCGAGATCGCTAGAAACTTGGGATTAATAATCGACAGTGACTTAAGCTTCAGTGTTCATATATCCAAAAAACTGTCGTTAGTCTATCTTAAACTAAAATCCTTATATGCATTTAAGTATTTACTACCATGTAGTACAAAAATGATGCTGATTGAATCATTAATTTACCCTCACTTGGATTACTGTAGTGTTGTTTACTTCAGCTTCTTGACAAAAGAACTGAGAAATAAAATTCAGTTAGCCCAAAATTCTTGTCTACGATTTGTCTCTTGTACTGGTAAATTTGATCATATCACCCCAATTTACATGCAGTATAAACACTTGAGGTTTGAGTCGCGTGTCTCTCTGCATTTTGCTGTTTTTCTTTATAAGATTTTTAAGAGTAATTGCCCTGGTTATCTCTGGTCTCTAATTGTGCCTAGAAATGACTTGCATAATAGGGATCTTAGAAATACAGTATGATATAATATACCGCTACATCGAACATCCAAATTTAGAAGTTGTTTTGCATTTCTGTCTGTAGAATTACTCAACTCAAATATCTATGATTTGTTAATTAATAATTCATTAGTGATTTTTAAAAAGGTTTATAAAAGCCAATTACTGGAATCTGTGTAGTAGTATGAAAGTGTTCAAGGAGACAGGGCATCATGGAAGAACGCCTCAGCGAATGTTGCCTTTTGTGTATTGTTTTTGTATTATATTTATTATATATTATACTGTACAAATTACGCAATAAATATTATTCTATTCTATTCTATTCTATATAGTAAATGCAAAGGCAGCACAATGGTACGGTACAGACACATTGTTTTAATAGAAAATTTGGTATTCCATCGGGTCCAGAAGTAAGTTTATTTGGCAGTTTGCTAATCTCAATGAAGATATCAGTTTTTGAAATTTCAGAATAATTAATGTTTGTACTCAAATTGTTATCATTAAAGTCTGAAGAAAGATCGGTGGAAGATGTGTTTTTCGTGTAAACAGTTTGGAAGAATTCCTTGAAGAGATTGGCTATGTCCTGGCCATTATGAGCAGACTGGGCACCATAAGAAAAAGCACTGGGCAAACTATGACTTGACCTCTTATCTTTAATATACTTCCAAAAAGACTTAGGGTCTTCCTTCAGTTTGAGATCGATACCCCTAATGTAAACATCAAAACAGTGCTCTGAAAGTTTTTTACATTATTAGTAGGTACTTGAATTATTGTTTTTTTTTTAAATATCTCGTTTAAGGCCACTATGATTTCTGTTTACATTTAAGAATATTAAAACAAAAAGTGTTTCGGTGTGACTTTTTGTTTCATTTATAAAGTATCTTATTTTTAGACATTGAAATTTTAACGATTATCGTTTCACGATATCGATTTCTGTAACGTATCAGTGGTATTCGTACTTTTACCAATGCGTTATGGTAATTCCTAAGATTTACTGTTTGTGTCCGGTAAAAGTCCGAAATGGAAGTAAAATAACTAGTTTTCGGGCTTTTACCACTTGCTTCTGGTAAATCCTAGGTTTAGCGCGCTTATCCTAGGTTTTACTGAATTTCGGGCATTTACAGTAACATATATACCAAAAATGATTAGAAAACTGCTAAAAAATATCAATATATATTTATGTTATTACTTACTACTGTGCTTCTGAACCTGAAAAAAGAAAAGAACTGAATTCTATGGAATGTGGATGCAAATCCTTTATTCTTTAATAAATAGTAAATACACTTTAAAATGAGCTGTTGGGTTGTGCAAACAGAAAACTTCGCAGCAAACAATACATACGATACGAGTAGTGTTTTGAAAGTTACACACGACTCAGTATTTGGAGCCATAGGTTCGAGCCTTTACTTTACTGATCTCTGTCCATAATCGGAAATTGAAATTGGTAAATACAGAGTCGAAATCTTGGTAGAAATATTTCATGGTGGTTTCTGACTGCTCGGGAGAAAGATAAGAGCAGACTACAGATAATACACAGCGATCCCATAAAGTATTTGACTAGCTTTTAGAAAAAAATGTATCTACCTTTGTTTTCTTCATTATAAAATGGTTGTACATATATATATACATACTTCTTACTTACACAAACTGTGCTCATAGTGTGCTTACACTTTTTTATTATAACTGAGAAAAATTTGGCTTTTGGCTTCCGTTTCATGAAGAACTTTTCACAAATATGTATATTTTTGTTTTTGATCTATGGATTTTGATTATTTCGTTATTTTGAACGGTGGTCAGGAATGCGTTCGAGAACCGGTGTGTCGTATAAAAAACACACAGCAGGGCTGCGCTCGAAAACCTGGTTGTTGGTGTGAAAATTACTTCAGGGAGTGCATCCTCAAAATGTCAGCTTTAATTTTACTCTAGGCAAGAATTCTTTGGTCAGAGCCGCTTTCGGGTGCTCCTAGAATTTTTCACTCCTGTCAGTGACTTGTCATACGTGGTCATACTCCATGCGTTTCGCACTCGAACGCTTGTAACCGAACGGGTCGAACTGTAGCTGGAGTACTTCGGAGTAACTCGGGAGCGCTCAAAGGTTGGCACCCGAAAGCAGCTCATGACTAGAGCCGCTTTCGGGTGCTCCTAGAACACTTCACACCTGTCAGTGACCTGAGCCGCTTTCCAGTATGGGAGTGTGACGCCCGGAGCTACTCGGGGCGTTGAGCTCTCGAGCTGTACGTACACGTCAACCTATCAGCTGTCACATCCGTAGGTGGCTATTTATCTATTTATTTCTTGTTATATCTCAAGATCGAGCATTTTAACAAATATAGTTTTGATTCTCTTTCATTTTTGATAAATAAAAAAACAAACTGCACAAACAAACCGATAATTATTTTTAAAATTTGACATATTTGACACCAAGACAGGCGTCTCACGCCATGATACTGGAACGGTACAAATCTAGTGCGTGGCGCCCCCGAGGTGCTCTAGAGCGCACCAATGTGCATACTGTGAGCCGCTTTCCAGTATGCACATTGGCGCGCTCTGGCGCGCTCCAGAGCACCTCGGGGGCGCCTCGCACTAGATTTGTACCGTTCTACTATCATGGCGTGAGACGCCTGTCTTAGTGTCAAATATGTCAAATTTTAAAAATAATTATCTATTTGTTTGTGCAGTTTGTTTTTTTATTTATCAAAAATGAAAGAGAATCAAAACTATATATTTTTCCTACGAGCGTGCGCAAAGTAGTACTTTTCCGCACGCATTTTCGTTCTCAAAGTTACACTTTTCCGCACTCAGTGCGGATACGGGCCTTATCCGCACTGAGTGCCGAAAAGTAAAAATAATTGTCAAGCAACAATAAGTGCACCTGTCGACTTTCACACATGATGACAAATTTTTCCTGTTTCTATATCAGCCAATATCTATACAAACACTGAATACCTATAATTAACTTTGACACATTGTCAGATTTGTGTTCTCCATTTACATGCAAGAATTTCTTTCGCATCAAATTTAAACGCTTTAAGATGAACAGCTCTGACGAGGATTTCAGTTTTCTGTTCTTTTTTTTTTGTTATGTAATTTCCTGATAAATGAATAGGTTCGCTTCAGGTTAATTGAAAATAATTGAACAAATTATCGATTTTTTTTTTTAATTTTTGTTGTTACCTACCTGATATGAAGCTCGTAGGAAAAATTTTGTTCCTAACACGTGCGCAAAGTGTCTTTTCCGCACGCAAACACTTATCCGAACTCCGCTTCGCGTCGTTCGTATAACTGTGTTTGCGTGCGGAAAAGTAACACTTTGCGCACTTGTTAGGAAAATAACTATTAAAATGTTCAATCTTGAGATATAACAAGAAATAAATAGATAAATAGCCACCCACAGATGTGACAGCTGATAGGTTGACGCGTACGTACAGCTCGGGGGCTCCACGCCCTGAGTAGCTCCGGGGTTCACACTCCCATACTGGAAAGCGGCTCTGTCCTACTCCATGCGTGTTGCACTCGAACGGTTGAAACGGAACAGGCCAAACTGTAGCCGGAGTACTTTGGAGTAACTCGGGAGCGCTCAAAGGGTACACCCGAAAGTAGCTTATGGCCAGTTCCACCAACTATTTTAGTTTAGACGAAATATGTCCGTTTAACATTCTATTCTGACATAATCGTATATAAATATGTCAAAATAGAAGACTTTTCGGACATATTTCGACGGAAAAACGGATGCATGAAAATCCTTCCTTATGCGTTACCATTAAGAGCCGCTTTCCAGTATGGGAGTGTGACGTCCGGAGCTACTCGGGGCATGAGCCCCCGAGCTGTTCGTACGCGTCAACCTATCAGCTGTCACATCTGTGGGTGGCTATTTATCTATTTATTTCTTGTTATATCTCAAGATTGAACATTTTAAAATACATAGTTTTGATTCTCTTTCATTTATGATAAATAAAAGAACAAACTGCACAAACAAACAGATAATTATTTTTAAAATGTGACATATTTGACACTAACACAGGCGTCTCACGCCATGATACTGGAACGGTACAAATCTAGTGCGTGGCGCCCCCGAGGTGCTCTGGAGCGCGCCAATGTGCATACTGGAAAGCGGCTAAGGACGGGTATTATAAAGGGAGTGAATCCTACGCCTACCGGTAGGTCCTTTGTTATCCAACGGTCGTACGCCTACCAGTAGGTCCTTTTTCATCCACCGATTGTGCGCTTACTGGTGGGTAGGTCCTTTTTCGTAAATTGATCAAGCGCCTACTGGAGGTGTTTTTTTACTTCAGAATCCGTATATCCTACCAACCAGTCAGCTTTTGCTAGCTAAATGCGTTACCTAAATACATTTTTGTTTGTTTGCAAAATTGTCATTAAGAAATTCGTCCACTGGGTAATAAGCCTTTATTAGTACCTAACATCTTTCTAATTTGGACTTTAAACTTGTTGATGTTTGAAATCTGCGTCATTTTAGATGGCAACCTATTGAAAATCCTTCTGCATACACCTTGAAATTATTTTTGAGTTTTCGATTGCTCGCTCTGCTTGCCGGTGAATCCACCAAAAACGTGAAAAACCTTTATTAAATAGGTATAACCCCTTGAAATTTAAAATATTTTTGAGCCTCTGGATTGCTCGCTCCGCTCGCCAAACTTCAAAGAGAAGATTCTCGGAAACTTAAATCCACCAAAAACATGGAAAACCTTGTTGAAATATATCACACGATAGGTAGGCGAAGGATTCTTGAATTAATATGAACCTACCGGTAGGCTCAGGATTCTTTTTGCAAACAGTACCTACCGATAGGCGTTATATCATGTGGCAATAGGCTACTTGCATGGAAAATTAAATTGATTATTGTTTATTGCAAACTGTAGGAAATCGAAAAAAAATCGTTACTTTTTTTTTATTTCGCCCAAAAATGATTATTCCGAAAGTTATACAAATATTAAGTTTTTTATATATATATATATATATACTGAGCATGTGCGACGTCACAACTCACAACGTATTATACCTAAGTTATGACGTCGGAGAGACATTTCAAAGCGTTGCATCTCCGTCAATTTTTGACTAACAAGAAAAAGAAAAAAAACGTGTTGACTTATTTTTCATGGACTATCGAAATCAGCAATAAAAAAATTTGATGCAAGGGGCCTATACATACGATAGGCACGCAATCAATGAAACAAATGGGACCTACCGGTAGGCGCAGAATTCACTCCCTATTATAAAACTACTTTGAGAGTTAACTTAAAGTTAACTTCTGGAATTACATGTAATTCAAAACGTTAACTTTAAGTTAACTGTCAAAGCAGTTTTATAATACCCGCCCTAAATCGGATGCGCAGTCGTCTTTCTATATCCCTTACATATTTCTGATCAGAGGCCTTATTCTTGACTTTCTCTCTAGAGAAAATTTGACTGTGTTGACAATTAAACAGTGCATTAACTGTCAACAATGTCAAATTTTCAACCTAGGTAAAGTCAAGAATAATGCCACAGTAGTCAGTACGTGTCCACCACCCTTCCGAACACCGAAAACCGTGTGATTTCTATCCACATTTCGCCATTCTGAACGGCAGCTGTGTGATTTTTATACGCCACACTATGTTCTCGAACGCAAACCAGCTGTTGTCGGACAAGGTACACACTACTGTGTACCAGGATAGTCTATCCTCATAAGGCCTGTGTGGAACACTGAAGCCCACCATTACGGCAAATCACCAGTTGTGACGTAGCCAGCATGTCCTTTCTGGCCTTGACGTAGGCTGTTTGCACTACAAGTTATAATTCCGCGGGCTTTTGCTTTGCATACTTGGTTTTACTACATTTTGACATTCTAAAACAATTCTTTTTTAGATCTCGTTTTCACCTTCCTCTTTGCCTTTTTTTTTTAATCAAAATTAAATAACATCGTTCATCATAGATTTAAATTCTAAACCTCGACCGCTAATGCAAACAGCTGACGACTTAGTTATTAGGTCGGAAATACAGTGAGTCTATAACCCACAGTGGCGACAATTGCTGTCTTATTTTTGATTGGTTCAAAAATCCCATATATTTATATTGAAAACGCCGCCATCTTGTTCCCAACCCCTTGTTACTTTTAAATATGAATATATGGGATTAAGGTGAACATCCATCAAAAACATGGAAAACAACGTATTTGATGGACCTAATAATGGTCATCAAATACGTCGATTCCAATTTTTTATGATAGATGTCCATTTAACTCCTATATATTAATATTTAAAAGTAACAAGAGGATGGGAACAAGATGGCGGCGGGACCTCTATTGTCGCCACTGTATGTAAAGGTTTATTTAGCCACTGTAGTCGGAAATGGTGACACACCAATATGGCGGCGATTGATTACCAAAAACGAGGCCGGAAAGCAATCCAAGAGCCGTTTTCGGATGCAGAATGCGAAGCTCCTAAAAGACTTCACACCTGTCATACTCCATAACCCTTTTCACGTGGTTCCGGTTAAACAAACCGCAACATACCGCTCAAATTCGAGTTGTAGGTATCCATCACGTCACTTTGTAACCGGGTTAGAAAACGGTATGTCATTTCTCTAACCGTTTTGTAACCCAGTTAGTTAAACCGGAGCCACGTGAAAAGAGCTATTAGTCCTTTCACGTGGTCCGGTTTAAACCTATGGTTTAAACTAATAACAATGTCAAATTTTCTATTTCTCTACCTAGGTAAAGTCAAGAATATTGCCCCGGGTGACATACCGCTACTAACCGTTTTGTAACCCGGCCCGGGTTACAAAACGGTTAGTAGCGGTATGTCAAGTATGACATACCGTTTTCTAACCGTTACAAAGTGAAGTGATGGATACCACTCGAATTTGGGCGGTATGTTGCGGTTTGTTAAACCGGAGCCACGTGAAAAGGGTTATTGCGTTTTGCACTCGAACGCTTTAGTCCGGAGTTTCATGCATCCGTTTTTCCGTCGAAATATGTCCGTTTAACATTCTATTCTGACATAATCGTATATAAATATGTCAAAACGGATCAACGACAACGACAACATATTTCGTCGGAAAAACGGATGCATGAAAATCCTCCCTTAAGCTGGGTACGCATATGAGCATGTACGCGAATGAGGCATTCCGAGGCCGAACCATTTGCCTCGGATTCGGGAAGAAATAAATTTTTGGGTGACCTGAATAGTGGACGCACGAGGCGTTGTACGGAATCGATCCATAAATATGTGGTGAGCATTCTTGTTGTTAACTACTACTCTACAACAACACGTGGACTGCCTCGACCTCGAAATGATTTTTTTTTTAAATTTCCATCCACACTGAGCACATATGAGCAGCGCACGAGCAGATGCCTCACTTTGATCTACCGCCAACAGTTGGATCGGGTCGAGGCCAAATGCATGCGGATTCAAACAAATTTGCACGCCTCGTTCAGACGTACACATACGTATGCTCATGCGTCCTCGGGCTGCCTCATTCGCGTTCGTGCTCATATGCGTTCTCATTCTATTCTGACATAATCGTATATAAATATGTCAAAATAGAAGACTTTACGGACATATTTCCACGGACAAACGGATGCATGAGGGAGGATTTTCATGCATCCGTTTTTCCGACGAAATATGTCCGTTTAACATTCTATTCTGACATAATCGTATATAATTATCAAAACGGATCAACGGATTGACGGATAAACGGATGCATGAAAATCCTCCCTAAGGGAGGATTTTTCAAAATGTCAACGCAATGTCAAAAAAATGCGAATTTCGCAGTTATGAGTACTAGGCTTTAGGGAGGATTTTCATGCATCCGTTTTTCCGTCGAAATATGTCCGTTTAACATTCTATTTTGACATATTTATATACGATTATGTCAGAATAGAATGTCAAACGGACATATTTCGACGGAAAAACGGATGCATGAAAATCCTCCCTAACCGAATACACGTTTTCACGTCGCTCCGGTTTAAAAAACCGCAACACACCACTCCAATACGAGTGGTATCGAAGACGAAGATGTCACTACAGTCACTTTGTAACCGGGTTAGAAAAAGGTATGTCATTTCTCTAACCGCCTCGATGATATGGTTACGTCGAGCGGTTAGAAGAAAAAAATATAAACAACGGAAAGCGGAAAAGTTCGGAAAAGTGTAAAAACTAAAGTCTGTTTTTTTTTTAAAGAAAATTCCTCAAGTCGAAAATTTAGTAACTTTCCAACTCCCACATGTTACTACTCCTTTAACTTAACCGGCTCCAAGCATCCATTCATTATCGATAGCGGATCATGTATCGTATCGATAAGTCCTTCTGATCTCTAGTCGATCTGTATTTCAAAATTCAAAGTTGGAGAGTTCGAGGTTAGTTAACAAGTAAACAAAAACAAAATTGATTTTTATTTTAATGAATGTTTTTCAATTGCTTCCTATAAATAATTTAATATTTTCGCCATATAGTTAACATAAAAGTATCCGAATCCGAAGCAAAAATGTCGAAAAATAACTTATTACGAGTGACACAAATGAATGCTATTTATTTAGATAAGGAAATCGAGAAATCGTTCCAGCAAATTATTCAAGATGCCTGCAAGCATTTACCCGTAAGTAATTATTAGTTAGGTAATAGAGCTTTTTTCATTAGAAATATAAATATGTGCCACCTCATTAATCATTATAATTAATATAACTCAAAATGCAAAGTTTTCTGTACTGTAGACATATACAGAATACCTTATAAAGAAGCTTGAATGATCATTCACAAAAGGATCAGATTACAGAGCCTACTCAGTCGCAAGAGGCAAAGTTGGATATCATACAGACATGTGTTACCTGCTTCATGTAACCAAGACTCAACACTTAATACTATCAAACGTTAAGCATTTCTGATCTTACATCAAGTCACTTAGAAGGGATGCAGGTCTACCATCCCAGATGCAACTGGATTATACAGTTATCTTCTGATCCGAGATAAATCGCCGAATTATTCGCTAAACACTTCAAAAGCTATTTTTCTGATCATACTGATGTGCAACTTAACGGAAATCACTCCGTCGAGTTTGGAGCAAACTTGTGAGATCATGCGTTCACGGCTGGAGAATTAAAGGAGAAAATCCTTAATTTGGACATTTAAGAGTCAGGGACCAGACAGCCTATCACCTATATTTTTAAAAGAGTGCTGCTCATCTTTGCTAAACCCCCTTAAACAACTGTTCCAACTTTCTTTCGATACAGGAATTTTTCCTACAACATGGAAATTATCAAATCTTATCCCTATATATAAATCCGGAGTAAATTCCAACAATTTGACACCTAACTATAATTGTCACATCCAGAAGATCGATAGAGTTCAGCATTTTGTTAAATACTTGTTATATAAACTAAGATTTCCTTATCAGAATGTGGACTACAACACTCGTCTGCTGATGTGTGGCTTAACTAGCCTGGAAAATAGATGTCGGAATGCACAATTGATCTTCTTGTATAGGCTGATAATGTGGTATTACTTGTTCACCTGAACTTTTACAGGATATCCATTTCCTCGTCCCTAGCAGAAGAACTAGACAAAGGCAGCTATTTTTCCAACCAGTCCACAAAACAAATTAAGGCCAAAACTGTCTGATGACTAGACTTGCCACAAACTATAATAGTCATTTCTTCCATTTGGACCTCTTTAACACTAATCTCAGTTCAGTTAAAAAAGCTATACCTTACTAAGTTTTGTTGTCTTTATTATTGTAGTTTGTTTTTGTTTTTAGTTTTAACTCCTGCAAATGTGTACCATCTAGATATTTTTGCTCTGTAGTTGTACACTTAAAATAAATAAATTTAAAAAAAAATAAATAAAAATAAAAAATAAAATAAAATAACCCCTCAAAAGCATAACATTGTTGACATAATTTTATTCGATTAGATATATATACCTATGTATAGGTATTCATTAACAAATCCATTTTATTTTTCAGCCTGGTCTTATAACTCCTATCAGCACAGAAATAAATCTACTCCTTCACTTAGGACTCCTAAAATATTCCCTATTCAATAGCGGATCAACTTTTGGACAGCAACTGTTGAACATCAAATACGACAACCTGACAACAATCAAAAAAGCCCTTTATCTTATTTTAACAAGCTTAGACTATGCCAAAACCAGATGTGAACTGTGGCGACCGTCACATAAAATTAACACGATCATATTTCGATTTTATATTGTTTTTAAGTTGATGGAATTTTTAAATACTTCGGTTTTTTTGAGGCACGGAGTTAAACCGCTTCTAGTCGAGAGGTTGTTGGGTTTAAATCAGGTTTACGCTACCGAAAAGCCTCCTAGGACTTTTGAGTCTAAATATTTGGCCAGAGAATTACTTTGGAATGGATTTATAGTGAGTGAAGTTCAATTATTATTTAATGAGCACAATGCCATATTACATATTGACCATTTTTGCAGGAAATTCTAGTTTATATGATTCCATTGATAAATTATTATAAATTGAAAAGATTTGTTAAACAATACAATCCGTTTGGTCAAAGAACGCAAACTACCAACATGATAACCGATAGAGAACTGACTATAAATTCCAAATGTGCCCATTGTCATCTGGCTCCAATTTTACCACATCATATGGGTTGTCCTCATGTCTTCTGTTATGTGTGTTTGAAGGTAGAGTGAAATTACCTTGACTGAAAGTCAATATAGAAGTTTTTCAAACTTGAAATTCTATGATTTGGAATAACAAAAGGTGGTTATGTAGTTTCATTAATCTTCATTGATTTCTAGGGTAATCAAGCTGCAGATGCAAAATACGAATGTCCAAGTTGCGAACATAGGAATCCAAACATATTGTGTGACAGAGTAAATATTTGAAATAAAATAGTCGACTAAAAAAAAAACAACACCGCTGAACTTTTATTTTTCAAAAACAATTAACATAAACTCTACAAAACAGGCAATTCTTAAAAAAAGACGTGTAAAATATCCATTAAAATTTATAAATTTATTGAAAAATCAAAAATCATTTTTCAAGGCTTGAGGTACATTTTCTTTAGTCTTTGTTGTTACGCTGTATCCGAGTAGTTCTGGGCAAGATTTGTTTCCATCGGAAATGTCTTTTAAAGTCGTCAATAGGTCGTAGTTTATTATTTCGGATACCACAGAATCATGACTGAAATAAAAGAAAATTGATTGTTAAAATTTTCCTATGCCACAAAAGTAAAAGTAGGTGAAGCATAATATTATATGGTAACCTTGTTTCTAAAGAAATAATTATGATGATACAAAAACTCATGAGATTATCTATAAAGTAATAAATTGTGCCTAGAATCTCTCTAATAACTTTTGATTCTTACTTGTAATTCGGATGTTCCATGACAAATTTCCTAATAAATGCAGCTGTGGTTAAAACTTCTCCGGACGCCCTTTTTTGAATAAATTTCAGATATTGTTGGATTGTACAGTGTGTGTCTGCGTCAACGTCCATGCCATTCAGGTAACTGCTGATTAAAGGAATTAAACCTGGGAAATCACCATGCTGAAATTGTTAATAAAGAAGTTTTGCATTAGGTTAAATTTTAAATAATAATTTAATTGAAATCTGATTAACAAGAACCCCAAGTTCATCAATCATTTTTTCAAGTAGTTTTTTTTTTCTAGTTTTTAAAGAATCCAAAGTTGAACTTCATTCAAAAAACTTCACTTACCTTGCCATTTACAATATCATTAACCGTCATAAATCCCACCATGTCGCACTCTTTCGGTTGACAGTTGGAACCAGCACAACATCGATTCGCTTCCGGCGGACTCACATCAGTGGTGATATCTTTACGGAACCAGAATTTTTGTTCTTTACACGCGTTGCGTTTTTGAGCATTTCGCATGTTTTCATCCACCTAGAAAAACACAATAATAAAAAATAATTTAAGAATGTCTTGTTCTGATACTGCAGAGAAGTGAGAGAGGTAAAAGTCCTTGAAGACTTAAATGAGAAGTTGCTACTTTAATATTCATGATGCTCCATTTGCAACCATCATGGAATTTCAAAAATCGAAAACTAAATCAACTTACCTTGCTGATAGGTATGAGGAAATTCAATTGGTAAGATAAAATGACGCGGGTGAGTAAGACAACAAAACAGACGATAGCTGCATTCTCAAAGTCGGTTACTTGAACTTCGCACGGTCTAAATTCGACCCTCCAACCAATGGTTGAGTGAGGAGGAGGCGGTTTGAATCGCATCGTTTGCCAATTGGTCGACTGGATGTTCTGAAAAATAATTTTACATTATAATCTTAAATCAACTTATCATCTTATAGAAAGTATTGGTAAATTGAAAAGACATTGTCACCTACAATGGAAAAGTACGTTAAGTAGGTACTACAGAGGGCAGATATATCCATAACAGATTTGGAAGAAAAAGAACTAAGTTTTTGCTTCACAAGTCAAGGGTTCAAATATAATTATCTAAAACCTTCCTACCTCAAAATGATCAGTATCCTCTTCATCATTCTGATAAATCTTCTCCGAAAACAACGAAACTGTATCCCTTATAAACAAATGGGCGACATGCTGGGCCAGCAGATGATCGATCCCGTTGTCCCTCAACTTCTTGTAGTCTTCCTCGTTGTATAATACTGCAATGTCATTGTACTTGGCGCCTTGCGTCGACAGGTACGAATCGATGGAATCGTACCGTGATTTATTTATCACAAATTTGTTCTCCTTTAGGGGTTTGAGGCCTCGTTCTTCTTCGGTTCGACAGTCGACCGAACCGGATATCACATTCCACCGACAGTCGACGTCCGTCAGGAAACCTCGATGGACTGGCGATGCTGCCGTAAATGCTAACTGAAAGAAAAAAAATGTATTTGACACTTTTAAAAATATCAAAAATGAGTTGAGAGTGAATCAAATAATCCAAAAAGAATATGATGAACACAAAACATTGATGAATAATTCTTTGGCAGATATAGATAAAATCGCAAAATCTAATAAATATATCACATGACATAAATATGGCAATTGCCAATTGGTGGGGGGAGACTAACAAACTCTTTTTTTGAAGATCCTGTTTCAGAAAGGGAAATTTTAAACCAAATTAATAAACTTAAGAATGGTGTAAGAGGAGGGGAGGTTCAGATCTGCTCCAACTTTATGAAGAAATTTGAAATGATATTGATAAGGTCAGTGAGCCATATCATTAACGTAGTTTTTTTAAGTACAGGTGTCGTTCCTGAATTCTCGAAGGCAAAAATACATTATCAACAATGTGCCTCTGTGATCAGTCTAGTCTAGAGGAAGAAAATGCAACTTGGAATATCTAGAAATTTAATTACTGATAAAAATTTTACTTGAAAGGAGCAGGTTAAATATGGTTACGTTCTTAGACTTACGTTACAAATAAAGTTGGGAAAGTGATTTTTTTGAGCTAAGAAACATTTCACCATTTCAAATATTTTTTTAGAACAGAATAAATCACCCTCAAAATTTCCTTTATTCTGCTTTTTATATGGGGTATATACAGGATGTTACAAATTCGCGAGTAAGTATAGGAAACGAAACATTTCAGTCAAAAAAGCATGTTAATTTGTATAGAGATACTCATTTTTGTCAATGACATTGTTTTCTTCATAAATTTGTCTTTGTCAAACTCATTATCTTATGGTAAGTACTTAATTGTTTTTATTTATTTTGATTTACCTAATATCCCTTATGGATTTCAAGATATTGGATCTTAAAAGTTTTGAAACAGGAATCCAAAGGGAGTAAGTAGGTGGAGGGGTAGTTAGGTTCTCGTTTGGGACATCGATGAATCGATAGCAGCGTGATTTCTCCGGCACTTTTCGCTCTGATTTGCTGGTATTTTCTTCATGGAAAATTGTGAGAAGTGTACATATTAAGTATTAGTGAATTTCCTTTATAGTGTCGTCTTGTTTTTCCCATTTCGTAGGGATTTTTGTGTTACAACTGAAAAATTTCATTGAACAATAGATCTTCACTAATTTGAAGGATATAGTTGTACCTGTTACAATAGATCGCTGTCAAGAGCTCGTAATGATTCTACCTCCACCAATTCGGACGATCCTCAAGAAAATTTTATGAAGAAGTATGTGCGACCTTAGTCAGCCAACTCAAGGGGGAATTTGCTCTTTTTAATAAGCTTGAGGAAAAACTTAATGAAGTATCGAAATTATTCTCAACTCTTCTAAATATCGCCATTAATAAGAATAATTCTCAGGTAGAGTCCCTTGAGCAGAAGATGATCACCTAGGATCAACTTCATAGAAGAAACTCTCTGCGTTTTATTGGTCTTCATGAAGATGGGGATGATATTGTGTGCAAGTTCATTTTAGCTTCACTTAATGTGAAGTACTCCAAGCAGGATATTGACAGTGCCTTTCGCATTGAACCGCATCTTAACGGCCCCAATTCCCGGGGAGTTTAGGTAACATTTCGTCGGTTTTTTCACGTAAGGACGTATCTCATAAATTTTGAAAATTGAGTTAAGACCTGCAATAGACAGCTTGGTCAACATATTTTTATCTCACGAATGATATTCAATGCATATCTTAATATTCTATACTTTGTCTATTCCTCATATATTTTAATGGTCGTATCTCAAATTAATCCATATTTGAATCTCACGTATAGGTGTTACTTGTGATAGGCCCTTACATGTGATTTGAAAGACATTTCGTGATGTGCATGATTGTCAAGGCGTATCTTACTTACGGCGTACGTTTGATTAGCCGATGCTTGCCATCAGTCATATTTGGCACGTTTTGCTTCGTGAATGGACGTTTACTGTTATGTTTCTTGTTTGTTTTGTGAAGTTGTGACATCCAAGAGAAAAACTATTTCAATTTGGATTATACTTATAACTTTTTGACTCATCATGAAACATAATAGGTTAGGGTGCTTCCTAGATTTCTCTGAGAAATATCTATGTATTTTTTGGTAAATTTCATGTTCAATAAACATTGAGAAAAAATTTATTTTACAGTTTTTGTTCCAGAATAGATAAACCAAAACCATAATAATGGATGTTCTTATGTGTCACGATGGGCCTCTAAACAAAAAAAAAAAGAAAATCCAGAATGGAGTTACTCTGATGATGAACCATTAATTAAACTAAAAAATTCTCTGCTGCAAGGCGTTTCTTCTGATTTGTGACACGAAAAAGATAGTCATAATGAGGGGGACAACTCAGGAATATGTCAAGTTATAAACTGTAATAAAGAAGTCTGGAGCGCATGCCATAGATGCCTTTTTTAAATTTTCTGGGACCACTTTGAAAATAACAAAAACGAACGTCGATTGCTAATACGTCAAATTCATATACAAATTAGGCAATTCAATCCATCTGTCAAAAAGGAAAATTCAATATGGCGTGGCGGCCAAGCAAGTTTGTTTTGAACATGTTTTTATTCGTATTTTAAATTATTTTGCATGCAGTTTTGCTTACAACTTTGATTTTCATTATTTAATAAAATATTTGTTGACTAGGTACCTAAACTATTAATTCGGGCAGAAACTAGATATTTTTTTGTTTTTTGGCCCATGTGTGGCCGCCACGCCATCTTGAATGTTACGTGTTTGAATTAGGGAATCCAAACCACGTGACTTTTGCCAACCAGCCGGCATTTTGAAATTTTTATGAGGTTAGAATACGGGTTGTTACATGTCAACGATGTCAGAAAAGTGTCAGATTTGAGTACTCGCCCCGTGTATTGATAAAGCCTAGTTCTCATAACCGCGAAATTCCCTCTTTTTTTGACATTGCCTCGACAATTTGACGTTTGATTCACGCATAAAACGTCAAATTGTCGAAGCTATGTCAAAAAAGAACGAATTTCGCTGTTATGAGTATAGTCTGGCAAGTGGTAACTTGGTAGAGACGAAAGGGGGAAGAAAAGTGGGGCGTGACCTAAAAATATTCACTGACACCTCAACTGACACCGCCTGATGACAGCCATGTCTTTGAGTTCAGTGGCACCGAAAACACTAAGGAAATAAACCAATAAAATTATTAGAAAAAAAAACTCTAGTTTCGCCGATAACCACGCCACTGCGTGCTGTCGTTCAAACTCTAACCAATAGAATGATGCCTCTGAATAATCACGCCTCTCCACATCCATCGTTTCGCAATGTTGCCGGATTTTTTTCTATTTCAAAATATTATACCTTGCCCATATAGCAAAAAAAAATATGTCTCCAACTTGTTTATTATTTCCGTCAAGTTTGGCAAAGCAGCAAATTCTTTTGGAGTTCGCCGTTTGGCTAGCCAGACAATACTAATCCTGCCAAAAAAAAAAACATATGTTTTTTGTTTATTGTTTGCCAACCAGACGCCATTTGGACAGGTCGTTGGATTGCCTAATAGGGCATGTCCATGTGACGTCACAAATGAGTTTGACAGTCGCCCTGAGGTAAAACAAATCATTTATTTACATTCGTTTAGATTAGGCCGGTTATGTTTTATGCGGTTTTAACAGCATTTTCGCAAGTTTTGGTGTCATTTTGTTTTAAAAAAGTTAGAGCGGAGTGTTTGTGTTCCAGTCTATGTGGTCTTTCATCTAAAAGTTTGCTAGGTTTTTCTATAATGGATCAAATTCAGGTTTTTCCAACAAAATATATCAAAACCAAGCGTCACAAGAACAAATATATAAGTATAGTTACTCTATATTCAATCTATTTTTCTGTCAGATCTTCCCTTTTAAGAACATTAATCAATTTTTCTCTTCTCTCTTGAGCTAACTAATCAAACCTCCCATTGTTATTTAAAATTGATGGAAACCTATAAGAATGGGGTAGTATACAAGTGATTTTTAACTACTACATAGTGATATACTGGACGTATCGTACTATTTAGTGTAATCAGTTGCTTTGTAAAAACCGCAATAGGCTGGAATTATTTTTTTTAAATTTCCTCTTAGCCCCGCCCCTGCGTGAAAATAAAAGTTCGTGACGTAGTTAGTTTTTCCAATCTGGCAACACATCACGGTTTTGAGAACGCACAATTTGCACTGACATTGACCGTCAAGAACGAAACCTCAAATTTGCTACATTCACAAACGAACAAAGTTATTGTGACAATGTCACATGTCACACGATTCACACGACACCATATGTCGTTGAACTGTTGAAGTCAGCTGTCATTTTGAGCAGCGTTGCCAGATGGTCAGCGGCTTGAATACTATTGGTCGCCGCTGTGGCGCTAAATTCAAATTACAGTTTTTTTTTCTCTGACTAATCTATAGACACTATGCTGGAAAATAATTCAGTATCCCACTATACCATCACCATTTAGCCTATAGAATAATATCGAGTAGTTTTTTTACTGATTTTTTTACAAAGTATACTACCCCATTAGCAACTAAACAAACTCTAGGCATGTCCAAGAAACTTCTGGAGCACACAAAAGGTATTTATTTTAAAAAATCTAACTAAAAACTTAAAAAACACTGTAAATTATATCTTTGTTTTACCTCAAGGCGATTGTCAATAGTGCCAAACTGTCAGATCGTGTACTTGCCCTATTGCCTAATAGGAAATTTCTTACCTAATTTTATTTGTGTATTCAAGACAAGAACCAACATACGTTAAGTCACTAAAACGACTGGTACTTCTAAATAGGTATTAAAAACTCTAGTAGCGTTGTTGCCAGCTAGATCAAAATCCAAAAATTTTACCAAAAAACCTCAGTACTCAACCAGAAGATTTTGTTGTAGAGGGAAGTGGAAGGGATGGACAGGAAAGAAACAGTAACACCAGAATAGATAAACAAAAAGAGGCTAAAAAGCCTTAAAAATTCTGGAAAACAGTATGTGAGTATTGCAACTAAAAAA